CAACTTAGACCAAATGGAAGGAAATTGTATTTGAACAGACCAAAAGGAGTGTTAATTGTCGTCAAAGTAGATGAAGAGTGATATAAAGGAATTTGAAGATAAGCATCTTTTAGGTCAACTTTCGAGAACACTTTGGAACCATGAAGTCGATTTAGAATATCTTCAGCCTCTACCGTCGTGCACGTTTGCTTCAACAAACGGGAGTTCAGAGTTAATCTATAGTCACCACAAATTCTAGGGGTCTTGCCGTCCGACTTCAGTGGAGTAACGATAGGAGTACCCCATGATGAAGACTGAATTGGTTCAATTATGCCTTTCGCACACAAATCGTTTAATGTCTTATGTACTGCTTCTCGAAGACCATAAGGAATTATTCGTCTTTTAAGAAAGACTGGATCACCCTGTACTTGAAGTTTTATAGGCTGAATTTTCATACCTCCACTGCACTTAGCACACATAGCTATCAAATCTTTAAGTAAAGTATCAGAATTTTCTTTAGAAACTAGGAAGGACAACTCCACTTTAAGCTTTTTCAAATTCTTTAAACCTAATATTGACAGTCCTGTTTCGCTAACTAAAAATTCACAAGGTATGTATGAAGAATTATAACCTCGTATTAGCAATTCACAACATCCTCGTATGCGCAGTCTGTGTTCAGTAATCCCCAATATTGATACTTCAGTGGGTCGAACCACAACGTAAAGATTTAAGGATTTCATGTTCTTTAATGAAATAATGAACTCTATACTGCCTGTGTCCACAATAACGTCATGAAATGAACCAAGCGATGTATATAGTCGCTTTTGAACATGAGCATTACCTTTCTAAATAGTAGACATGTTTCAGCCACAGTGGGATTTGAACCCACAACAGGGCATGCTTCTGAATCGGACAATTCTGGATCGCTGGACGGATCATGAGCGACTGCCCCGTTCGCATTACTGATCATCAGGGATTCATAGAGGCTTTTGTTTTCATATTCATACGTCCTGCAGTCATTCTCGAGTTCAGTACGCAAGTGGGAAATTAATTCATCAATTTCTTTCGCATCTCCGAAACATGGGAGATTTAGCAGTCGCGTACGTAAATAGTCCAAAACATTCAAATGGCTCTCTCTGAAACGCTGTTGCTAGCGATCAAGTAGTAGCTGCAATTGATCGGGAAGGATAGTCATTTTCTGAATCAGTGGGGTAATGAGAAATGCTGTGATCAATTAACAACCAATGACTTCCAAGGACGCCGATGACAAATCTGGATACTGATTGGTCAAAACAGATAGGCTGAATCTCGTCCAATTACAGGATTCAAAATTTTCTCTACCCCGTCGCCAATTGTTGTAACGTGTGATACTACAGGTTTTGATAAGCAGCGTTTTATCGATCGATCACAGTAACACGGAAAACACGACCTAGAGCCCTGATTGGTCCCTGCTTCACTGTCTAACCCAGCCAGTCGAGTCAGGAACACAAGTCACAGCCTCTGAGTTATGAATCATTGTATTTCAGACATACTCTATTTATATATCAAACAAACAAACCACATCGTACCATAAAATAGAAGACAACATTTACACAATATTTAACAAGTGAAATAGACATCGACCAATAGGAAATGTACATTTAAGGTCCAAGGCCACCATAGACTTTTCCTCAGCATCCATAACATAAATGATCACTAGAAGCATCCGAATTATTGAGAATTAAATTACAAGATTCAGTACTACTTGAAGCGAGATGGACAGTAGCTTTGCATACTGACTGAATGTGTCCTATCTTACCACATTTAAAACATTTAGCACTACGAAATGCGCATGAATTACGAGAATGAATCTTTCCCCATGATAAACATTTACCAAACTTCATCTCACCTTTGTGATTTGCTTTGGAATTCCTTGTTGAAACACCTTTCATATTTATACGAGAATAGGAATCACTGTTAAATGAACGGAAGTGTGATTGACCCTGAGATTGTAGTTCATCATGACAACTAAGCAAAGTATTAGAAATCTTCATCGACTGGATATCAAGTTCATTTACTGCTTCGTAGTTAATACACGCAGTTCTAGCATCTTGAAAGGAACAGTTCGGGATTTTTAACAACTCTCTTTCCAAACTCGGTATGTTAATTCCTGCAATTAATCGATCTCTCAGTTGCACATGAAGTTGGTCACCGAAATTACAAGTGGCAGCTTGTTTCTGCAATTCAAGGATGAATTCCCGAGCCCTTTGGTCATTTTGACGAACCATCTTATGAAACTTCGCCCTTTCACGGCATTCAAAACTGGTGCTCCTTAAGAATTGCATAAGGAAGTGAAATAGGTTTTTCTGGATAAGCCAAAGATTTTAATAAGCTGTACGTTCTCTCCCAATGAATGTCAGGAAATGTGCCACAATTTTATCACCTTTAAGATCTTTCTTAGTCATGCTCCAGATTTCAAACCTTTCCAAATAATCCTCAAAACCTTCCAAAGTTGAATGAATATCCAACTTTTCTATTGCAGGCTCCATCGCGACGCCAGTACAATGTTTCGAATTATTTGATTTATAGTACGAAATACGAGTCCCAGAGATAACGCAATTGAATTAAAAAGTAAGACATAAGCACAAGCGAATGTACTGTATTTGGAATTAGAAATCGTGCAATCAACAAGTACAAAAGTATCATTAGTTCGTTCAAACACCACACTGTCCCCACAAATACATTTTGGTTGGACCTTTTACGTTTAGCCTCTACTCATTGTTTTTAGTTCTAAAGTTCATACCTGGTAATTGCAAATGTTTAAAAACTACGTTAACTACAGCATTTGATCGAATCAACACATCGTTAACCGATCTATCTCAGGAAACAAGACGGTTGTATACATTTTAAGGTACCAGTGAACGTAATTCGTTTCATAATTCAATCCAGTAATTAATGATATTTGAAAAACCTGTATAAATGGTAACTCGTCAAAATATTACTGCTGACTAGCTAGCTTGATCCCTTGTTGTTTTATGCACTGAAAAGTTTAAACTTTTCAAAATTAAAGGCATCATATAATAATGTTCACCAGCCACGAACAGGGCATCACTCCGACGATATAAATCTTAAGTTCGAACAAAATAATGTAGTCATTATAATGAGACGTAAAAATGGCAAATTCCAAAGTGAACAGGTTTGAGGGGGCGTAAAATGACTTCTACAATCCGCTTTACTATGACATATTGGTTGTGGTTTTCAGTACTGAAATACGCATAGGAGGGATTGTAGTGGTATCAGTTCTCAACTCCACAATTTTTGAAGCTGAACATACGACAATTGAGGAGATTCACATTCAACATCTAACACTTAAAGAAGATCAGGAGAATTCGGCTCGGGAACACTTGATCGGCATGACATGCCCCGGAAGTGCAGGCGTGCCCACCCTATGAAACGTTCCTTTTCACATTAAAATATATTATTATATTCACAGCCCAAAGCTATTCTTCAAAAAAGCTGAACATCAAATTGCTAACTGTAGAGATAGTACGTTTCAGCATAGAAAATGATGTGACTTCCAAATGGGATCTTGAGGATTCGGTAGTCAAATCTTGACAAATCTACGGTTTTCGGATCATGTTTGTTATTCCAGTAACAAGGATAAATCCATTTAGTAACGACCTGGACAATAAGCTCATAGGATCAATCAAGGAAAAAACACATAACATCACAGGGCAAAATACGGTGAAACTACTAAAAGCTATAAATGGCAAAGTGTGGAGCTCATAAACGGAAAATATAAAGATGTCAACTATAAGACTGAGCTTACTGCAAGCGAATTTCCTAAATAAGTTTCTGTACTGTTGCCAAACTAGTCTTTACAGGACTATTGTGAAAACAGATCTACGGTCAACACTTATAACATATTCCTAAGACATAACTCAATACAATTAGTATAAAAGTGCGAGAGAGAGAGTAGTCGTAGTAGTAGTTTCCCCCTTCAACCCAGACACATATTCATTTGAACAAACAGTTCTTTATTTCCGCTTCTTAAGGATCAAACAGCTTAGGAACGTACCAAGAATATCAGTGGTTGTTAAGCCTGTTTCGAGTTGGCCTCACTATAGCACAAAAACAGGTAATTTTGGATTACGTCTGAGTTTGGTTTCTGATAAGTTGCGCCTTGTATTTTTCTCTGTACCACCTGGAAACCTGATTGTTTTTACTCATTTTTCTGGCCGTCTGCTGCACGCTTTGCTTCCTTGCTCAAGCACAAGTATATTTTGATTTACAATTACATTTCGTTTTGACATTTTCAGGACTACTGAAAAAGTTGAATAACCGACGAAGAATACATTGAATCGATATGTTTGTTGTACGTTTTTCATTGTTGCGTTGTATCAAGTAGCTCCTTATATTAGAAAAAGACGACCACACTCTACTAGACATAGCAAGCTGTAAAAATGTGTTTGCCGACAACAACTTTATTGTGCTTAAACTCTGGTCCAAGGGGCATTACGTCCCTACTAGGGGGTAGAAGTAAGTGTAACGATTGACAAACAGCCAAAATAAGGACGTAGTTCCTATTTCTAATGCGAAGTAGATATGTTTTAAAGGGCTGGAAAACGAGACAATTAAGTGAAAAAATGTCACAGTAACCTATGTCAATAAGACAGGCTAAAACGCTGCAACACAAATCCTCTCACATTTCCTGGATAATGAGGTAATTTAACACTGGTTTACTGTACATTGTATGATGATTTCTCGTACAAATAACTTTCATCTATTTTTATAATAAAGACCAACCCTCTGTGAAGACGCGCGTGAAACGTCTGAAGGCAAGAATAAAACCCTTCGTGCTAGAAGTTTCGTCTCACACATCGCATCGCGAATTGCTGGAATCATTTCACCAGAACAAGTAAAATCAACTTCTACTATCAATACATTATAGGCGAGGTTATATCACTGAGATATTACAAAACACGAAAGTTAAAATACATCAGCTCCGAAAACTGGTTTAGTTGTTTGTTCCCACTAAAATGCTTTGTTTCGGATGCGCGTAAGTTGTTCGTTTTTGTAAACGCGCTGGATTAAACATGTCCGCTATAATCATTGAAGCTTACCCTTCGTTCCTTAATGATAGTGGATAGTTATGGGAAATTCGAATTCGTCTAATAATGATCAAAACAGTTGGATCACGGCTCCTCCTGTGAGTATTTCTTTTGGTGAATTTATCATATAAACGAAGCTGATCAACTTTTGACAACTTTGTGTAGTTAGACTTGACCAAATTTATCCACACATGTCCAGACTGTGTCAGTGGCAGACACTATCAATGGGGATACACGGTGTTTCACTTTCTACTTCAATTAGCTTATACTTTGTCAGATGTACAGCTGTCTCCGTGTTTATATACTACGCATCTGTTTTCCTTATATGTAGTGCTGCTTGCATTTTCTTCTGGTTCAATTTGGTCCTCATTATAAATATGACCATAAATCTAGACTGATGCTAAAAGGCGTAATACTGTCAGTTCTGGACTTTGGTTTCGGAACTTAGTATGATGCGTCTTCTCAGCCCAAGCAATCATAATGGAAGGAATAACAGCGAACTTTTATAAAATATTAGGACAATTTCTTTCGAAAGTCGGTATAAATATAAGTGATCAGACACTGAATTTTCGATGTTTTCGTCATTCCGGAGTTAATAGTGCCAATTTTCCTCTACCATGCTCCAATAAGTAGCATTGTCTCGAAAGTAACACCTTTACATTCCCAAAGATTAACACCAAGTTGTCTCTTCTTCCCTAATATTAACGCGTCGGGTCATCTAATTTACCCAGAAATCGGCAAACCGGTCATTTGTCGCTTGAATATTTAAGACCTTATCTCTACAGGGCAATCGAATTTTCTACGCACTCGACATAATTCAAAAGAGTGATTTATACGAGGATTTATTCCAGAGTTTTACATAAATAGTTGCGAATGTTATTTACATACAGGTGACAGTTAAACGTCAACATTATAGCTGAAAAATGATTATATTTAACCATGCTTTAAAAATGTGTGTAATGTGAGGTTTATTAGATGTATGAGGCTAAGTTCTGAAATACCGGTGGATACTAACGTTTTCTACTATATTTAGTTCGGTTCAATGCGCTTTATGCAATTGAGAACGTAATTGTAATGTAACTCATATAACTTAAAATTACCCGAGATGTACCCTGGATTTACATCCACCAGAAAATTCTGTGAGTTGTGGCAGACTTAAAACGTTTGGTATATAGAATGGCTAAGATACCTAGTCAAACTGCATTTCAATCCCTGCTTTGATCCCAGAAGATTTAATTTTAATATGCGCTCAGTACGTTTTAGTAGATAATGGGTCCATGTCCTGTTCTTCATGTGTACCATGTAAATTGCAAGCAGGTAGATGGAATCCAATCGATCTACCAAACTGTAGCTAGTATTTTAGCTAATCTGACTGGTAATACTAAACCACCATTCCTAATATCTTTAGAATTAACCCATGGGTCCCTAGTCTTGGGTCTCTCACCTCTTGTTTTAGCTTTCTGTACGTTTCCTTAAGGCTGACTTCTAATATCACTCATTCAAATAGTGGGTACCTGGAGTGGATTAAAATCAGTTGAACTACTTCTCAAAGGTTTGGTCTAAGAGCAGATCACTAGCTGGTGATGTAAGCCATTTTCCCACGAAATATAAGCGTATGTTTAGTCTAAATTGCGCGCACTGCCTTTTTCATCTTTTAGTTGTGTTGTTCACAACTTCACACAATCGTTGCTTCTTCGCTACAAATCGTGCTCGTAGCTCGATGGGATGATTTTCCAGCCATTTACTGGATACTAAAGTTCATTGTTTTAAAGCTTTTAATTTCAAATTGTTAGAGGTGCTGATCCCGTTTGAATTCAAGGTACTTCTGGATAAATGTGCCATCCATCCATAGATGAGCATCTAGCTAGTTTTGTCTAGATCATATAGTTAGTTTTCATACTTTAGCCTGGTTCTTATGGTTCTTCCCAGATTTTCCTTCAGTGAAGTGTAAACAAATATTTGGTCGCGTGGATTATCCACTGAGTTAACCAAATTGTATGTTTTTTATACAGACCACTATCTTTTGTATTGCATGGTGTTAACTGAAGAAGCATTAGGTCGCAAAGTGCTATGAAAGGTCGAGTTTTAACATCAGTTAATAAAGTCTCTAGATGCTAGTTAGTGTGTATTTCTTTACTTTGTCTTACGATGAATATTCAGTCTACCTAACATAGTTAAGTATATTTAATTAAAGTTGTAGTTATTACGACTCTACAAGCTCTAGCTCTAAAGAATTAGCCATTGGATTAACGTGAATATTAACCACCATTAGGTCTACTTACTTCATTATACCACATCTTTAGTCTTCTTTCTGTCTGATTTTCATTGGGACGTAAATTATATAACATCCCTAGGAAACAATTAATTATACGCAAAAGCGTTTATGCAACAAAAATGATTTAGTTAGCATCGTACTGAGTCCCAAAAATTATTCTATCTTGTTCCTCGTAACTTCAATCTAAACCCACGGATTTTTCGCTGTCAGAATTATGATAGAAAAAATGCCTTAGAATACTGATTTTAAAAGTAAACACAAACATATTTTTACTGTGTTCTTTTATATTTATTTTTAACTTAAGAATGACGCTTCTGCGCCTATGTTTGAACCATCATTTCGGTCTGTAGTCGAAAGACGACCTATTTTCTCTCCTAAAATCTCATTCAATAATGGTCAGTCATCCAATTCTATGCTTCCAGCAGCGATAGCGCCGGATTCTTCACAAAGCTTTGATCAAATACGCTACCAACCCTATAATACTAATTATGTTCCCGACGCAGTTCAGCAGATCAAGGGAGCGAAATGGACAAATGATTTTGTGGGTGTTCCAGTAACTTCTGGTGATAAATCATCTGTTGGAAATTCATCATGTCTACCTAGCACTCATCAGTCAACGAACTTCTCACCAACTCAACAGCCTGCCAACTTCTTAAACAATTCAGTTGCGCAGATACGAAATAATCCATCACATAATTCACCCCAGATATCTACAGAAGGGCAATTTGTCGCTTTGCATGATTACGTTAAACGTGTAGATGATGATTTGAACATGACCAAGGGACAAATATTTAATATACTCGATAATTCACACTCTGATTGGTGGTATGCGGAATGTGTATCTACTGGTAATCGAGGATATGTACCCAAAAATCATTTAGCAGCTGTTACCAGTTTAGAATCCAATGAGTAAGTAAACTCTTGCCCTTTACGTACTGGTAAGACGTCCATTAGTTGGTGTGACTTTGTTGAAGTTATCTTATGGAGTCTGGTTATCACCGGTGATATTTGAGTAGGAATAAAACCATTTAAATTTCCATGACATCTTAATTTCTATTTAGGCACGTTAAAACTATCAGTTAATGATAAGAGTGATTAATTGTTTTTCGTCCGATTAAGTTTATGTGCGTTGGAACGAGCTATTCGCTGGATTCTATCTTGTACAAAGTTCCCCATTACGTTAATTTTTTATTTTGCCAGTGCTGCGTGAAATCCGTGCTGCCATATTATTAGTATGGGTAATAGTGGCTATCACTCATTATTAGACAGACTGTTCATAAAAGACAACTATTCTGTCTAGTATTTGAGTTTTAGATTCTCTGTTCGGTATTAACTAGTTCCCATCAATTCCAAGACAAATGTCAGGTGAAGTAAATAAAACAAAGGATTGTTTTATTTCAACCAGTTGACCAATCAGTGAGCCATACGCAATGTGAAACTTGACACGTGTACATCTGTTCATATCTTCACACTCCATTGGCATACTAAGATGTTGTCAGAACAAGTCCCAGATTCTTAGGCTTTCTTCCAACCTATTCAGTGGTATAGGAGTAGGTTGGAAGAAAGCTAGGGGCGGCCAGACCAAAACATGTCACAAGTTCATGAAGTCACTGACAAGTGGACTGAGTCATGTTGGTAGGTGTAGACTACCTGGTTGGGGACCGCGAGATGATAGCAACCGATGGTTAGAGACCCTGAATGACATGGCTCAAAATCGTTTGCAATGGCGCAGGTGCATACACTCTTTATGTTCTCCCAAATTTTGATCTCCTTATTCCTCCTTGTCTCTTTTTTCTCCTCTCAAATTTATTTCACTGTATTAAACTCTTTAAGTAACATCTCCAAACTAATCTTCCCGATTACTGCTTATACTCTTATTACCTCTACCACTACGGGATTTGAATCGACCACTGCATCTGTGCTAATGTGGTGTGACAACTCGAACTGATGAACGTACGTACGAAGTTCTACGTTGTTACTGACTGACTGACTAAGAGGTATTAATAGTACTGGTAGTAAGAGATTAGGGGTCGAAAATGCGATTCAGGAAAAAAATAGGTTAGTGAAATGAAAATCTGAGACAATGGATTGATATTCGCAAAACGAACAGTCAAGGTTGAGACGATGGATTGATATTTTGTAAATTAACTATTAACTATATGGTTCTCAGATTTTAGTGAGATGCTCTGTAATTTAGTGTCAGATACATTCGATTGTCCCCACTCGTGTTCTGTTCATTACAATATATGCTCGAGAAGATAATGATTGGTTGTTTGTTTAGTCAGAGTAGTAGATAGTCTGACAGATACTAGATGAGTTATATATCCCCTTACCCTTTATTTTATTATTATCATTATTGATTGTTGTCGGCTTTTCGTGTGGAAATAAACTTACGTTCTAGTCAGGCCAGTCACATGTTCTTGATCTGAGTTGTGTTGAAGTCCTGTAGAATAGAAACCGGAATGGAATCTAGCGTAAATATTCGTATAAGGGAAATTAGTGTCTCATTCGTGTATACAAGAAAAACAGATTGGAAAATGCGAGAAAACAAAGATAACGAATCAATACTATTATGATAGTTTCAAGATGAAAACAAACCTTTTGAGTCGTCGTATGATCAAGGCTTCAGCAAACCTTAGTGTGGCCCCCTGGGGATTCATGCAACACTACGTCGTCTGATTTTATATCAATCCTATGACCCGTCTCAGCCAAATATCTCTCAATGAAGGGAGATGCTGATAGAAATGATGGAATTTAACAAGTATTTGTGTGATCAGGTTGTTTAAAACTTATTGAGTTTAATATATCACGTATTTCGGGTAAACTCTGTCTTCTCATTTGACTACTTAAATTTATCAAAAGACTTTTTTATCTAGTCAATATTTTTGTTTTGAAGTTGAAGATGGAAATAATCTCGATTCGATATCAACTGAATAATCGTATGAATTGATATCCTTTTTAATCAATTCTTAAAAGTCATAATTTATTGGGACGTCGCTATTTCATCATTAATGTAGCATATAATGTCATGGTATAATACTTGTATTCTCCATCGCTTGTTGATGGATTCTTCATTGTTGGGAGCTATTTTTACTTGTTCTCAATGTTTAAACGAGTTATTTACCCCATTATCACTGAGGAAACCGGATTTGTTTACATTTTTTAGCGATGAATTATCTAAGACTAGTAACATGAAATGTGTTTATCGTTTCGTTTTCTTTGTGAATGTATATTTGTATCACTGCATTTTTAATTCTGTAAATTGTAGATGGTATTTTGGAGAATTGAAACGTATTGAAGCTGAACATTATCTTCAACTTCCGGGAAATGATCATGGCTCTTTTTTGGTTCGAATCAGTGAATCTCAATCCAGTGAATATTCTTTATCAGGTTGGTAAACTTATATGATTGAAAAATAGTCACTAGGGTGAAACAAAAAATTACATTCAGCTTTGTTTTCCTTGTAAATGTATTAGTAGCGAATCAGTTTTCTCTATATTTTAAGGTTTTTTGCTAAGGTAACGAAAGTCAAGTTTATTACAAAATATGTTTACTTCTGATGACCATTCTGCCTATGTAAGAGCTAGTAATACTACTACTCAGCGACCCAAACTAAAATAGGTGTGGGATTTTAACGTGTAACCTAATGGCTGAATAGTCATTACTTCTGTTAGCTAAGTTACATTATTGGTTTGTAAATAAAGTAAGTTTTAAAAATAAACTGTACATGTTCAAAAATTTTTAAATGGACTGGGTTGGAAGGTTTTATTTTGAAAAGAAATTAGCAAAAGACAACGAGGTTTATTTTGGCAAATTATCGTAAAATTCGATTCTAGAGGGTGGGCTTCCATTTTGTACATCGTTGACAACGGGATTGTACATTCATCAATCTGTAATGGTAAGACATACTTTAGCAAAGATGCACATCAAAAAACGCGAATGTCTTTATTAACATATCGATATATTGAAGATGACTTGTTCTTTTAATCATTATATATTACGCATTATAGTACTTTCAAGCCTATACAAAACCACTAAATTTCTGTTGCCTTAAGTGAAACCGTTGAATCAATTGAGAATTGTTGCACATATGGTGTTTTGTAAGTGAAGTTCTGCAAAATTAGTGAATTTTGAACTTATCAATAGAACCTCTCTTTCATCTTTGGTAGTCTGTCACAAGTAAGATTTGAAGAGGTTCATTTTTACCTCAGTTATTCTCGCTACAAATACAGTTTTAAGCATTGGAATTGAAAATTAAGTGTCTTTAACCTTTTAGACGTTCCTTCCTCACCGATTTCAGCATTTGTGTGATTGTGCACGATATGTACTGTTATCAAACGGTTTTAAAATAAGCTGTCGCTTTCCACACGTTCACTAAAAGAGATGTAGTGTGTATATACAGCCTCTAAACCTCTCAAGTTATTTACCCTCTCTGATTAGCTTGTTGCATATCAGCCACTTTCAGACGAATGCGTCGTATAAATGAAGATTCTATGCTAGTTTAGCTTGTGCTGTTTTCACTATACTTTTTAAAAGTATTACAGATTACATCTGTTTAGATTTTCTGGCATCTAATAGTTGCTGTTTTGCATAAAATAGCCTTCTGCGATAATAAGTGATTAAGAGTAAAGTCCAAAAGTTTGGTGATTTTATTTTATATCTGCAAATGCAACACGATGCCCAAAGATTAAACTCAACAGTCAGGTTTTAATTGGTTGAAAAATGAGTGAATTACAAGCTAATTTCCTGCCATCTCCCATGGCAATTTCGTGTTCATGTTTTGTATATAAGCATATTATTTAATCATATTAAAAAACTATTCATATGGCTAGTGGTCTTGTCTTTGACTTTTAGTCGTTCGGGAGTCCAATTCATTAATACGGTTTCGTGAGCATCCATCATTCGGTTACATTATATCATTGTGTCCATGTTTCGATCACCATTCTATTCACCAATCTGAACAGTTGGAATTTCGTCTAATCAAATAAAAGAAGTCCTCTATAACAAAAAAATCATTAGCGTTTGATCTTATACTTCAGAAAACCCTTCTGGAAAAGTACTTCCTTTGCGGTGTTCCATCCGATCTAAATAATCAATTCTATTGTCCTAATGTCTGATATTAATGCCATCGGTTATCAAGATATTCCAATTTTAATTTGATTTGGACCTTAGTATAACCTAGTCACCGAACTCATTTTCTTGTAATCAGTTCTAGGCTACCCCTTAATATATCAATTAGTAATGGCATTTAACCATTTATACTATTGTAAATGAACCTGGAACCAAATGGTCAAGCATAAAGTAGTTTAATAAATAACTCATTATACTGTAGCGTGTTAACCAAACAAAAAACCTAAAAAAAAAAAATTCCGTGAAAATACAATAGTGTAAAAGGGCGTATACTAATGTTTATTGAGGCCTTAACCCTACGGAAATTCAAACCCCCTTTGTGTATTCAAAAAGTTTGTTCTCACCTTAAACCTACCCTGGTAATATTAGCTTATTATCCAGAGTAATGAGGTTTCAAATTATTTTCAGATTATTTCATTATTATCCTTGTCTCCTCTTACCCTCCATTTCTAGTATAGTTGACCTTTTATATTTCTGTATATAAATGTTCTTAACAAATATGTGTGTGGTCAGATTGTTCAAATAATGTTCGTCTTATTGTACTATCGAAATTAAAATTCATGAATCATAACTCATCTGATGGTTATATGTTCTACTGAACTTTCATTATCTCCGTTTACATCAACCAATTTTCCTTGAATACGACCGTCTCTATTGAAACAATCTCTTTCCATTTTCTGTAACTTGTTTTTCTTCAGTAGTAATTGTAGTAGTCGTTTACTGTACAATGATAAGATAATCTTATGCATGAATTCTAATGATTATCTACTATCAAGGAATAGTTGCGAAAAAACATCCATTTTATTTGTTCATCTCATGTATATTGGGATTATTTATTTGTGGAATTACTTGTATTCTTTAATTATTCCTTAATTGTACACTTAGTAAATGTATACTAACTTTTGGGTAGGGGACTTAAGTGTCATTTGAAATAGTTTATAAATGTCAACCAGACTTCCATTTTGTTTCTGATTGGTTTATTCAGTATACGTTCTGCATGTTCCGACTATTTGTTTTGTATATGCCGCTTTGTTATGGATGATTCATCTAGTCACTTTTATTTGTATTCACAGCTAAAGTGAAAGTCAACTGCCTAAACAATTATTGATGAAAATGGTTTAATTGCTTTTTTTGTTTGTCTTATAGATATTTTGCAGAAATATTACTTTTATAGAAAGGCTTTCATTTAATTATACTATTGTCTTTGTATACTGTTTTTAGGTGGTTTCCCCTAGTTGAAAATTCCGTACTCTTTATGGATTGTTTTATTTCTGTTGGTTAATTTTCAAATTTATTAATCGTTATGAGCCAACAAAACTAATGATCGGTTGTTTTTAGAAATTAGTCTCTAATGTACTTTTTCATTCAGTCGCTATATCATCAGTCTACTTTTCGGACTTATCGTATTTGTTGACGACTTTTCGACTAATATTCACATTTGTAACGATCCTCCATGCAGTTGAAGTTTGATCATCAAAAAACAAAGCTTATTTGTACATTAATAGATTAGGTGTGATGATATAACTCCCGAATTTTAATATGTATTTAGCCATATCTTGATGCTACTGTACCTAGCAGAATAACAATTTCAGTTTCCCAAACTATTTATGCTTATGTAAATAGTTTGTCCAAAAGAAGAATTTGAAAATTTTCTATCTTCCAAGATTTTGGAGAAAATTGAAACTAAATAACCGAAAGAATAATGAGTATTTCTGTTAGTTTCACGTACATTTTGCAAATTGCTGTTCGGTACACATTCTAAACTGTTCTTAGCATTAACAGATTGTTAATAGCATGTTAACTATGTTATGATGCTCAGAAGTTGTTTTTGCCTATTTTAATCCTATTCTCAAATCGATATTAGAGAGGTCAAGTAAATCATGACAAGTGTATTGTTTTAGTTCTGTGGATTTCTATATAGAAAATATGTATCTTGGAATGTTTAACTTATCATGGATAGCCTGATAAACAGTTGTGTATGAAATGCGTCATCGGAAATTCGTTGTTAGGAGAGAAATTGCTTTCTACACAGCTCTCTTTAAGTATATGAAAACTGTCATTCCTTTTTTGTTTATTTGTAATTTACGTGGAAAGCTGGTCTTATTTCATTTTGTTACACTTCTTGTGTGTAATACATTCAACAATATCCACTAAAAGAGATTGGCTAGTAGGTAGATGTTTAAAAGTACGAAAAATTATTAATACAACTGGTTAAAAAACAACAGCACTATACCTCTGTGCTTATGACAGTGTAGACAGGTTTTTATCCTTAAAGCAGCTAGCGAAAACGGTACAATACCATTATTCAATATATACATATGAGTTACCACTGTATTTTGTTTTCAGTATAGTTGATAAGTTAAAATACCTTGTCTTTGTTCGTTTATTGTCGTTCAAACCCGGCCTTACAAAAATCAATCGTGTAAATCTAAATGGAAACATATATATATATATATATATATATATATATATATATATAATTTTCATCTTTTATAATTGTGTTTTTCATATCTGATTTATCAGTCACAGTCCATAACATTTAAAAGGTGATTGTGATAACATTTGTATGAAAAATGTTTTTCCTTGGTGTCTGTCACTAAATATTTAGAAAAATTGTTTACAAAGTTTTGGCGTATCTTCCCTGCAAATTTTTAACCTTTTTAAGTGTAGTTTTATTTGGACTGAATCAATGGATTTACGAAGATGCATTGATTCTAATCAGTCATGTTCAAAGTGTGTATTTATTCGTTTACAAAGCGTAAACATATTAAATTTTGTAGCATCCATTTATAATTTATTGACTTTTTGATGTTTACTTTTTATTTCAGACAGTTTAACCTTGTTTATTTTGACTAGGTCGTACTCTGTCAATAATATTTATGCCTAGTTATCAGCTACATTGTATATGGGATAGTCTTGGATTTAATAACGTGAGCGATATCTGCCAAAGTTTGGAGAAACTCTTATTTGTGATAAAATATACATTAGCAGTATTCTGATCTCCATATCTCTTGTCTACTGATAGTTAGATTATAAGTATTTAACAAAATGTTTGATTGTATAGTTTTAAGCATTGCTGGTTAAGACTGTTATTCACATTTCTGAATGTAATAATCTGAGAAACCAGTAATTATGTATGTTATCGCATTTTTGTTATGTCCAGTAAATAATATTCGTTAAAAAATTTCTTACTGATCTCCAGGATTCTGATATACTTCTGCATTCATAAGATAAAGTGGGAATCGTCGTTTTTATACTCAGGAGGTAATCAGGCTTATTCAGCTACCTGGACTGCAAATTAATAATAACTTAACTATATAATCCGGAACCCGTCAATAATCGTGTGCGTAAGAGCGAGCATCAACAGTGCAAGGCTAGAGATATTCAGTTGTTGAATAGTATAAAATGGGGCATAACTCTCATCTGTAATTCATTAGTTAGTAATTAAGTGCTGAAATTACAGAGTAGTGATTATTATCATTATTGAGTTATTTAGTCTTTTAGACATTTTATTCTAGGGTGGTTAAGAGAAACAAAAGCTATCCCATGTGCTTAATCTAAGTTTGTGATTTTTTTTCACAGCATAAAATGGTTAGTTATAACATTTTTTGTTCAAACTCTGGACTATTTGACTTGTCAATAATAAGCTCGTTAGTCTTTAGATTACAGATACATTGTGTTGTCTTCGAACATAAAGGTAATATTTATAGTTTCTATAATAGACAAATAATTGTATAACTATAGGTTGTGCGATCGATCGTCCGGGTGATGTATCTTCACACATCTAAATAATTTATTCAAGCCAACAATCAATGGTTATAAAAACTAACTGGTAGTAGAATTAGTCATCTTCTATAAGTGACATACTTTTGAACAGATTATTTAACACCAAATAAATATGAATAGCTTTCTTTTAAATCATGACTGGCATTTTTTCAGAGTTCTTCATTAATCCATATATACTTGCACCCCAATATGTTTCTGCATATGTAGATACTAAAGATGCGATATTACAAAATCTTAAGTTTTTCCTGGCTGAAATGTATGTAGGTGAGTAATCTTTATCATGCCCCTTTCTGAACCTAATTACATGCACTATTTCATGGTGTATGTGGACTTTGTTTTAGTAGTCCCAAAAATATCCCTCGTCAAATTCCTTAGGAGCCCAGAAACGCCAGGAAACGTTTTATCTTCACAGAAACACCTAGAAGAAGAAGAAGAAGCGGAATCACATGCCGTGGCTTTGATTGGATGTTCACATATGCTGCTACTATATTTGGTATCGCACTAGAAATCTCCAGGAGCCCAATGTCGTATGTTACTATAAATGCCCTCGTTTTTCTGTACATAAACCTAACCATGGAGTAAAGCGTTCTTCCCACACTTCTCGTGTTCAAGTTGCCATGTAGATTAAACCTGGTTGGAAATCGGATCGAGGGTTCAATTAGCAGATTTATTGCGTATTTGCTGATGTGAGTTCAATAGACGTTTATTCAGTCGAAGATCCATTCACTCACTTTTCTTGGATTGTTTGGCCTTCGTATGTTATAATACCGCTTGTGAAGTTACAGTAGAAATTGTTTATTAACCCACAAAGAAATTTGATTCAAGCACTGCATTTTCTACGTCGTTGCTGGAGGACAATTTATTCAAAGTTGATAGATGTTTCTTCACCCATCAGTTCCTCCGTATGCAAAAGTTATCAATAGTATCGTTTACTACCTTAGTTATTTTTGATCGAAATTCAAAATTAAGTTGAATTAGTAGATCCTCATAATCTTCCGGTCAATTTCAACTATTAATGAATTGATCCCATCTGAATGAAATAAGTGATTTCAACTTACCAGTTGTCATCGAGATTCAGAACTTCAAATCCCGCCGTCATTGTTAGAGCGGACAGAATATTGTATGAATTAAGTTAAATGTGTATATGTATAATTTATAACAGAATTCTTCCATCATAACATTTGAGGTGATGTGATAGGAGAATTGATGAGGCTGATTGTAGGGTCTCAAATCTACCAGTTTAGAAGTTACCTACGGGGTCTAGATTCAATAACCATTTATAATTTAAGTGAATCCTATTCATTTTATTGACCAGTTATTCTGCCTTTTGATACCGGCCACTGTTGACTTGAATTCCTGTAGTCTCAAGTAATACTGGAAGACAACTCTGCATAAACCAACACCATATTCATATCATAAATAAATAATGCAGACGAGTACGATTGATTAATAAGTAGCTATACATAAGTTTGTATGCATTTCCTAAAACATTTTCGTATATACAATTAGTTTCCAATGCCTTTTCAAATAAATATATTGTTTATAATAATGTATTATAAGTTAATCATTGTCGTCTTAACAGTCAAATGTAATTCATTTTCAAGTTTTTTAATATTTGATAGGGCAAATTAAAGAATGTATTTTTAACTCATTGTTTTGTATTAATCACTTTTAGTTCTCTGTGTTTCACACTACAGATATCAAATTAGGTTTCTCAATAAACGTTACAGTCGCGTTTACTCTTAACTTCTTATTAAAACGCCTTCATTTTAATCAGATACTGGTTAAGTGGTTACGGACTGTTGGGATTTAAGCATCTGACAAACATTTGTTTGCATCTGTAAAATAATTTTGTTTATGGATTTATAGCGAGGGGGTTAGGGGGCAGGTATGGTTAAACAGATTTACGAATGTTTAATTATTCATAAAATACACTACGGCCGTTTGGGTTAAACATAAATGCTATTTGTAAAATTTGCTCATTTTGTATTGTCAGCCTTAATACTGTAATCTAATGTATGATTGAATAAATGGAACAGTTAAAAGGTGATTACAGAGGTTATATCCTTCAGAAATAAGTAATATCATTTCGAACATATAACATCAGGTACTAAGATACCTACAAGTTATTTCAGTTATCTAATTCAAAATTATGTATATTGTGTTACCTTTGGCAAAGTTCAATTTTGACGTTGATTTATATTTGATGATATCGTTGAGTCATAGACATCAATTTAAGCGACATCATATCCATAATGTTTATATGGCAAAACTTATCTATTATTTGTTTCCTTTAATAAGAAGTGAACATTTTTTCATGATTCCAGAGGTGAGTTGAAATTCTTGAGAAATTATGTATTTACCAAATGGAGTTCATGAATTGAAGAATTTAACAGTTGGAAATGTTGTGATTCTGTTGTAAATTAATAATATTTTCTTTAATAAGTAGTGATGACGTGGTTATCTCATGAATCTAGGCTTTAAATATCCTATCGAGATTTCACAAATATAAATCTCTGATAAACTGATTGAACCTCCTGTAATAATTGTAATCTGGCACAAATATACAAAAGGCTAGACTATTAAAGCATTATAAATGCCATGTACATTTATATATAATTGCTAAACAATGATAATCAAAATTGCACGCTAGTCAATAGGTCTGGGTTTATAATCGTCATTTCAGAATCCTATGTGTTTTTGTTCATCGGTTTTTTGTGTTTCTTTCGAGCTAAATCTGTCATATTTAAATTTTGTTTCCAGTTAAAAACTTACTACTCGTCTTGTTGATTTCCTCTTTCTCTGATAATATAAATTATGACAGCTTGGTCTACTCTACACTCATTCATGAGATCCCTGTGTTGATAATGATGGAATAACTGAACTGAAATTTTAACCGTATTCTGTCTTATTAATTCACTTCCTTTTTAATGATAATATTTCATCTTCACAGCTGTGTTTGTAAATGTGACAAATTGAATTAACAACCTCTTCTTGCAGCTCTATACTGACTCATCCAGGTTCATGATTGCTTTCACTTTGTTTTAAAGTATTTAAGTAATTTAGTTTGTACAATACACTTTTCAAGACAGACACTTAACTATACTGCCCAATCTGTCAGTAGAATCTTTAACAAAGCCATTACATAGAAAGCGATCTATGGACACTAAGTGGAAACTAGTGTATGTGTTATTATTTCTGTCTGTTTTTGTTGTTACTTTCCTTTTTTGGGGAAAAAAGAAACAAGTCTATGTCCGGAATCTTTGTTTTCTAATTATCACATTAGTTGTTTATTCTGTTTATATTGATTGAAAATCCTAGATCTACGTATCTCTGTATTGTTTAATGTGTATCGAGTTATCATCTGTTCTGGATTTCAGTCAGACGCGATAAATGTTACTGTTATATAGACCACTTTGAAAAGTTAATAGATAAACTGTATGAAAAGTTATTAGCGTTTTTGCTTCATAGGTTTCCTAATATTTTTTCTTTTCAGTACGAGAAGAGAATACTGTTAAGCATTACCGTATTCGATCAAGATATTCACGAACTGATCCTACATTAAAACGTTTCTACATTTCAAGACAACTGCCTTTTGTTAATATTCAACAGCTAGTCAATCATTATTTAGAGAATCAATCTGGTTTATGTTGTCGATTAGGAAAACCATGTATTCGAGTAAGTTAAATCCTTATTAGTAATTAGTATGCCTTATGTTGTTGTTTTTATAATTATTTCCTCTTAAAAACAAAACTATCCTGTGAATAAAATTGATCTCAGTACTGTCAATATATAAGGCTGTAGAACGTTAGTTAACTCTTGAATAAAAATATGGATTCGTATACTAGCACAAGTGTCCTGATAAATAGAAGTTGTTCTAGTGACTATCTTAACATAAAGTCTGTGGTGTAGATTATGATTTACCTTTTCCTGTCTCTACGGATTCTAATGATTAATGTATCTGACTGTCCTTGTTCAAAATAGTTTCCTCAGCTTCGAATCACACTTCTTTTGAGGGGCCAGTGATACTATCTGCTTTCCAAAATGGAAATTGATGAAGTGGCGTTCTCGCGCTGTCACTCAATGTTTAGAACTCGGGACATATGACCACCGTTGCTTGGAATAGTAAGTATCGTTCTGATTGATTAAGTGACTAGCGTTCTTGTCACGGAATTTCGGAAATATCTGGGTTTGAATATTTCAGTGTTCGCCGTATATGTTATCTTTGATTATGTGTTCGTATAAGATCTGGTTTTGAATAATATGATATGTAAACGTTCTCTGTGCACATCCCAGGCTTCAGTATCATGTCTAATTACATGACTGATTAGAAATAACGTGAGCGAGGCACTAGAGTACTTTTAAGAAGTCAAAAATTTTTTAGCACATGGACGAACTCATAGTTACCTGTAAACCTTGACTCCTGTTACGCTTTACAATGAAATAGAAAGTGAAGTCCAGCAATTACGACAAAGCGTCATATATGGATAAAAAGAACATTGATGAGGAAGAAAATATTGTTGGGATGTGTTAAAATATCTGTGATCCAGAGGGGGTAGTTTTGCTTAAACAAGTTACTGCAACAGGCATTTCACTTCGTATCTTGTGGGGTCTAAAGAGACCGTTTTAATCAAACAATTACTGTTATACAAAGTTATGCAATGTAGTTAGTCATATAATCAAAGTGAATTATCAATCACTAATATTGTAAAATTATGGTGTACTTCATTTACAAATTATCCTGATAGAACATTATTATTATTGCTTATTTCTCACATTGTTAGTACTTAATTACTTTTTTTCAGTAGCGTAGAGACTGTCTCTAGTCGTTCATTTCTTATCATATGTTTATCGTCTGACATTTGTTCATGCCTAAGTGTGTACATTGCTTTTTGCTAGCGATCACTGTTGCTTGATAAATGTTGAGTTTGTATTATTTCTCAGTGGTTTAAACACTCAAATTATTAAGGATACTGTCCATAGATATATTATTTATTTCACGTAATAGACGTGGTTCATTTATTAATACGTGCAATTATAATCGACTTCTCATTTGAAAACTGAGTTGGAACGATTAATTGGTTACTGATTCATGGATATCCGTTTAGCTGACCATACTATCATTTTTTTTCTTGTACACAGATGAAAGTGGGCACTATTTCCTGTTTCGTCTCATTTTTTGTTGTTGACCTGCAGGAATTTGGTTCATTCTTTCAGGTCATGTGAATAATATATTCCCTTTTGCAGAACAAATCTTATAAAACACTTTTTTCTCTAATGATGATAGATATTGTTAATTATTGATTGAGACGATGTGATAGTACCATAACATGCACGCATGCCCTAGATTTACACGTATAAACTGCAAAAACTTTTTTTCTTTGTCTCATATACTTTATTTTGACTGATTTTAAATGTAGTTGCTTCTTTTAACGGTTTACTTCTATCTTCACTTCTGTCATGTATAATCTATCAAATATTTTACTGCACTAGATGCATTCACTATTTGAATAGCATAAAACAGAAGACTTTTGGTGACCTTATTAACGGAGTTTGACCCTTACAAAAGTGTTTATGAGTTTAAAGGTTGATTTTTTCTCTTTTTGTGTTTGAATAAAACATTAACCAAGGTGTGACATCTTGTGTTTACTACTAAATAAAACAGGTTGATTACAAGCGTATAGATTATCGATTTTTTACACAACGAATAGACTTAATCAGGTTGTGGGATATGAAAGACATGAAAATAAAAAAGTGAACTGTTAATTGTTAAGCGAAGATAGATAATGGCTAACAGTGGGATCCAGGACGCGCGTTTCGTTCTATTCCAGACTCGTCAGCTGGATGTACCTGCATCTTGGAGTTGATGTTCACTCTTGGACTCGAACACAGTACCGTTCACTTCAAACGCCATCGCATTATCCACTTAGCTACTGAGTCCTGATAGCCATTTGCTTGTGCAGTGAGGTGAAGCGAAGGGTACTGGATTCGAGTCTCAGAGTGAAAATCAACTCTGAGATGCAGGTCCATCCAACTGACGAGTCTCAAATAGGACGAAACGTGCGTCATGGATTCCACGGCTGGTCACTATCCATCTTTGATTATAATGCTTATGAAGTAAGGTAATATCGAGGCAACACACACAGTATGCACATATGCCAATTAGAGACTGATCAGTTTCAGTCCTAAACATCAATGGGAAGATTCAAGTAAACAATAACAAGTGGATAATAATTGTTAAGTTTAGATTGATATAATGAATGGATCAATGTTAGACCAGCATTGGAAACCTAATATTGATCCATTCATGATACCAACCAGCTGATAGGTCTTGCTAATTGAACGTTATATTCGGTTCCTAAGCTATTCCTGTAACCCCAAGCTAGGACTATACGGCGACCTGAACATGGAAGAGAAGGCATAAAGTATGCGAAAAGTACTTAACTCCAAAGTTTCATTTTAATACAGAAAATATAGGGTTTTTATAGTATTTTAAATGTCGGGTTGCTCGAAGATTCTGGAATGCTACTAAACATAGTAGCAGTATATCAATCAGCCAATCAGAACCTCTACATGTGTCGTCTCACTTCCTTGATGTTTCTGGCTAAAACTTCAAGTGAACGCTGATTGGATGAAATGCTTCCTAGTGTTTCCTGATCCTTGCTTGTCTTTTGCGTGAAATTTTCTGGATCACCCCAAAACCAATCTAAAATCAACAATGTCCATACTGATGTTAATTGTTAACTAGTTTATTTCATTGTAGATAATAATTACTCTCTGTGGTTTTATGTGTAATTCCATAGCTTACTGTAAGTTTGACTTAATCGAGAGGATTCGGAAATTTCATTTATGATATCTATACATTTTTCTTTCATGTAAAATGACCCGCTCATTGATAGTTATATTTCGATTTACTTTAGTTTCACTGAACAATAGGCTTCAAAAGTTAACAACTATCGTACATGATATACAAATTTGTTTATTTAATGCAATAAGACAATCAAAATGTTTTTTGATTTATTTATTCATTTAGAGAATAACTTACAGTTAATTGTTTTTTATTTATTATTTGGTTAGCCAACTCATCCAGAACCTGTGGGTCTTTCACACAAACTCATTGATAAATGGGAAATTCCAAAATCTTCAATTATTTTGAAAGAAAAAATTGGACAAGGTCAGTTCGGTGAAGTATTTAAAGCCGTATGGAATAAAACAACAATTGTTGCTGTGAAAACGCTTAAGCCAAGTGAGTCTTGTTTTTAAATGTTTGTTTTGATCATCTAACTTATCCTTTGCTTAACGTCTTTCAGTTAAAATGGTCGTCATATTTAACCTCATGGTTGTATAACTTTCCCCCATAACTCTTGCAAAATTAAAACGAATTTTAATCTATAGGTAAAAATAAATTTCATACTTTGTTAAAGATTCATAATTATCTACAAGCTTTCGTACAGAGCATTCTTATCTCTAAGTTCATAGATCTATATCTATAAATGAATGCCATCCCCTTTAACGGTTCTTTATCTTCTGAAAGCGATCTATTTAATTAGCTTCATGGGATTAAGGGAATTAAAAACCGTGCATAATATGTACATTTTGGTAACAAGAGATCATTTTAACACATAAATTTTTAATGTTTTATGATTGCTATGGTGAAGTTTCTAGGTATTTCCTTCTAATACTTACATAATATTTTTCTGTGTTGATCTGATATTTTTTGTTGTGCAAGTTTACAATGTTGACTGATATTATTGGTTGGTTGAGAAAGTCTTTACGGATTGGTAAACCAATACATAAATTCAGTGGGTATTGGTGTAAAATTTCCGAAAAAATATAAACTTCCTTGATTATTAATTGTGGGTGTGGGGTCAACAACCCCATCCCGTAGAAAACAACCTTTCTAAAAAAACGCTAAGAATAAACTATTTAAACCATTTAAACTCTGCCTTCCGAGTAAAAGGAAGAATTATGACGCCTCATGATGAAAGGTGAGATTCTTCGTGTTATATCTTGAAAAAGCTGATTTTCTTGATACAACCGCGTATAACTGAGCACTGGAACACCAAACCCTTCCAAGTCGCAATAAGAAGACAGAAGACTAACGAAAGGAATATTATTCCAAACAGTGTCAAACATAGTACAAAATTATCAGGTATTTATAGTTTTTAGTGGGAACGAAATCATCATTACAATCTTCCAATCCGCGTACAGGGGTTATTAGCATTATCCAATGGGGAAGCTACACGTTGGAATTCTAGAACATTCTTCCGACAGGTGATTGGATGGAACGTCTTCGGCTCCTTATGAGCCTCTTACAGCTTCCTCGAGTTCACCGGTGGTCCGTCGTCACACCTCCCCCCTTTAAAGTCCGTTGTGTAAGATTTTTTTCTTGGATCCACCTGAAGCTTGGGTGTCGCATTCCTCTTGCGCTCCATTACTCTCGAGGGTTGTACAGCTTTCTCTCTGCGTCGTTTGTCTTTTCGATATTTGCGCTCATGATGGTTCTTCGGGGATGAATCTACGAGCAATTGAAATGGAAGCCGGTTTTCTGTGACCACTGTACTATCATTTCTTTGCATTTGATTTATATGTCTTATGCATTTCCCGACATCTTTCCGGACTAGGTACAACACATTTCCGATTCGACGTTCTATGACACCTGGTTCCCACTTCTTATTACCTTGGTACGATCTGACAAGTACCTTCTCACCCACCTGGAAGCTACGATTGACCTTACGATTTTCATTCGTGGGTTTATTTGTCTTTCTGGGCGGCAACATACTGTTAAAAACTGTCCGGATTTTTCTTCCGAACATACACTCGGCCGGAGACTTTCCTTCTGGTACTGCCGGATTAGGGGTAACTCTGTAAGACATCAAGAACTTATTAATCACTTGTTCCGGGACACCCTCACCTCCCCCTTTGACCAGAGCTCTTTTAATTGTATCCACGAATCTTTCTGCCTGGCCATTCGACTGAGGATGGTATGGAGGAGATTGTAGATGCAATATGCCATTCTCGTTGCAGAAGCGTTTGAAGGCGGATGACATGAACTGAGTACCATTGTCGGTCACTAAGATCTCTGGAACCCCAAAACAGGCAAACAATCCTGACAATCTTCTTATGGTACTCTCTGAAGTCGTATTCGGCATGTCATAAACTTCCGGCCATTTTGTGAAAGCATCTACAACAACTAAGTAATTCCTGCCTTGTATCGGTCCGGCGAAATCAGCATGTATTCTTTGCCAAGGCCCGTCCGGTTTAGGCCATGGTTGTGGCTCAGCTCTCGTTGGGTTCTTTGCAGCCTCTTGACAAGACCAACAGCTGCGACATTTTTGCTCTATCTCATGGTCCATTGACGGCCAGTAAGCATAGCTACGAGCTAGTGACTTCATTTTACTTATCCCTGGATGCCCGCTGTGGAACTGTTTAATGGCTTGGTGTCGAAGATTTCTGGGGATAACGATACGATGGCCAAACATTATACATGAATCGACAACTGTTAATGACTCTCGTCGACGAAAGTATTGTAAGAGTTCTCCGTGTAATCTAGATGAAGGCCATTTATTGAGTATGCAATGGCGAACAATCTTTAATACATTATCCTTCTTGCTGGCCTCTTTAATGGCTTCAAATGTGACCGGGAGTCCGGAAACTGCGTCTGACAATATTTTGTGAACCTCGGCCTCGACATCTATAGCAGCTACAAGCACCTCTTCTTCTTGTTTTTCATGCAGACCAATCAATCTTGAGAGTGCATCTGCCTGTCCGAAATCCGTTGTTGGTTGATACTTTATCTTAAAATCATAACCCAGCAGTGTGGTAGCCCATCTCTGTAGCCGGTTTGCTGTATATACCGGGATGCCTTTTTTAGATCCAAAAACTGTCAGTAAAGGTTTATGGTCTGTAAGTAAGGTGAACTGCCTACCAAACAACATCTTGTGGAACTTTTTTACAGCAAATATAATCGCGAGGGCTTCCTTCTCTATTTGACTGTAGTTTCTTTCAGTCATAGTCAGTGATCTCGCAGCGTGAGCGATTGCTTTCTCAGAACCGTCAGGGTAGGCATGTGAAATTACTGCTCCAATTCCGTAGTTCGACGCATCGGCTGCGACTATAATTGGAAGATCGGGATCATAGTGTGTAAGGAGAAGGTTCGATGACAGAAGCTGCTTCAGTTTTAGGAATGCTTCTTGACATTCAGTTGACCAGAACCATTTAGTATCCTTTTTCAATAAGCAATTAAGAGGAGCACGATGGCGATGCAGATCTGGCAGAAAAACTCCATAATGACTAACCATTCCCAGGAAAGAACGTAAAGTTGACACATCCGTGGGTGGAGGCATGGACTTAATGGCTTCGACATTTTCAGGATCAGGTTTTCTCCCGTTTTTATCAATTATGAATCCCAAATACCGGACTTGCTCCATGTAAAAATCACATTTTTCGGCACGCAGCCTGAATCCATAATCTGCTATGCGTCTGAGAACCGTATCCACCTTATTCTCTAAATCAGCATAGTCTGTACCCATGATCAATATATCATCGAGATAAGCCGCGGTACCAGGAATGTCTTGTAACATAGTGTCCATAACTTGTTGGAAGATTGAAGGGGCGGTCTTTACTCCAAAAGGAAGTCGGTTATATCGGAACAATCCCTTGTGAGTGTTTATTGTCAAGTAATGCTTACACTCATCCGCTACCGGAATCTGTAGATAAGCGTCTGATAGGTCTAATTTCGCAAAATACTTACCCCCATTCAGTTTCGCAAATAAATCCTCTGGTACCGGCAATGGGTATTGATGGGCTTCAAGCGCTTCATTTAATCCAGTTGAATAATCTGCACATAACCGGATACTTCCATTAGGCTTTTTAACAATCACTATTGGAGCTGCCCAATCAGAGAAGTTTACTGGTTCGATTATTCCACTTCTTTGCAGACGCTCTAATTCTTGTTCAACAATAGGTAGCGCTGCATAAGGTACCGGACGTTTTGGTCTGAAGACGGGGGTGACTCCCGGTTTAAGAATCAATAGTGCTTTAACCTTTTTGCATTCCCCCAACTCTTCCATAAACACTTGACTGTGTCTTTCCAATACAACACTCTTCAGATCCTTTTCCACCGGTTTACTGGTTCTCACTGCGCTGCATATGTGGTTAATGGGGTGATTTGCTAATTGAAGTGCTTCTATCAAGTCTAGACCTAGCAAATCTAGTCCTGGATTCTGTGTAAGATATAAAGTTGCATTCGTTTTCGCATTTCCTTTCGAGACTGTACAACAAACCTCTCCAACAATATTTAGTTTTCCTCCAGATGCGCTGTGAGCTAACTGGGTCGTTGGGAGCACCTGTGGTTTACCGATAAGATTCCAAGTTCTCCGACTAATAAGTGTGATGTCAGAAGCGGTGTCGAGTTGCAGGCGGGCACGCTTTTTATTTATATCCAAGTTACATACTTTCTTTGGCGGCAAATTCGTGCTCGATTATGTGATACCAATATTTTGTTAGTTCGAGCACTAAATCTGTATTTCTTCGAGTAGGGTTTCAAAGAATGTCGTTTATGGGTTCTTTTTCTGCAGCAGTTTTCTTTATGTCCCTTGCGATGACACTTGCTACAACAATGTTCTTTATATGGGCAGAACCTTTTATAATGCCAACCACCGCAAGACCAACATGGAGATGAAGGCTGATTATCTGTGTGCGATACCTTTCTTGAGCGAGAATCGTTCTTTCCGCTTACAGCACGAACGTATGGCAACTGGCCATTATTTTCGACCATCGAAGTGTCATGCTTTAGGTTTACCAATCTCTGGCACTCTGCGGTTACTTCTTGTAGTGTCATATTCGGACATTGTTCAATTTTACTCAAAATTCTAGTTCTAATATCGGCATCTTCGGGAGATTGGAGGCTGCACACAAATACGAGACACTTAAACTGGTCTTCTGTCATTGCTGATAGTTTGAAGCGCTCACATTCACGGTTTACTAGACCCGCATGCTTCACCCAGTCATCATCACCTGCTTTTGTCATCTTGAGACATTGATAACGAATATTAAACAAGGATGACTGTTCAGCAAAGATTTGCGACAAAATTTCAATCGTTGCATCGAAAGAAAAATCTCTTGGATTCTTTGGAAGGATAAAGTTACTGTAACGTTCATGTTCAACAGTTCCAAGTTTTCGCAAGAGTATTCTGACCTTAGCGGCGTCATCAAGTTTTTTGAGGTCGACCTTGAACAAATCTT